CGTCCAAAGTCTGAAATTTCTACATGTCTGCCTTATACAAAGATAATCATAGCTGAACTTTTGATAATTAAAAAAAATTTCAATAACCAAAAGTGTAACAAGAAAAGAGTGGAAGAAATAAATTAAAATTTGGGCAGCCACTAACATAAATGAAGTGAGGGCTGAAGAGATGACTCAGTGGTTGAGAGCACATGTTGCTCTTGCAGAGGACCTGGATTCTGTCTGCAGAACCCACCGCTCTCACAGCTATCTGTAAATCCAATCCCAGAGGACCCGACACCCTCTCCTGGCCTCCTCTGGTACCAGGCACATACATGGTACACATTTACACGTGTAGACAAAACACCCGTATGCATAAAATTAAAACAACGAGAAGCTTAGAGGCGTGCAAGTTAACTTGAAAAAGAAACCATGGGAGTGAGCCTCTCGACAGCAGCCTCAGCGGGGTGACTGTGTTGAGCTTTGAAAGACAAGGTATTGGGATGGGGATGCAGCTCAGTGATGGAGCGCTTGCCTAGCATGTGTCTGTGCCCTTTGTTCAATCCCCAGGACTATAAGGTTTTTATTGAGTATTTTTTTATTTTTGAGATTCTTTTTCTATTCTTTATTTTTATTTTATTCATTATTTTTAATGACCTCCTTTCCTCCTTCCTGCTCTTCCATCCAACCCCTGCCTTATAACCCTCCTTGCTCTCTGCCGTGTTCATGGGCTCTTTTTCCCTTAATTGTTGTCACCTACAAGTATGTATACATATATACATATATATTCCTAAACACACAATACAACCTACTCAGTTTATACACTGTCACGTGTGTGTGTGTTCAGGGCTGACCGTATGGTATTGGATAACCGATTGGTGTGCTCTTCCACACCAGTTGTGGCGCAGAGGACTATTTCTCCCACGCTCAGCATTCTTTAGCTGTCTGTAGCTCTTTGTGTAGGGCTGAGGCCTTATGGGGTCCCGCATTCAACCCTGTCTATGTTAACACGCCTGTTGTTCTAGCTCAGCTCACGTTTATGCAGTCATGCTGGTGAGACTTTATGGGTGTAGTTGCTGACATCACTAGAAGACAAAATCTCACAGTAAGCTCCTTGAAGTTCATTGTGTAGTTCAGGGGCCCCATGGACTCTCAGTTATTGCCCTTGTCCTCGCCTTTGCAATAAACAGAGACCATTACAGTAGACCACCACTAACCATAATGCAGAGCTATGGAGTCCAGTCCAAAGGAACACATCTTCAAAACAACTCCTACACCTGCCTAAGGCTCGAGGCATTGCAGAAGACAGGACAGAGAGATTTGTGGAGTTGTTTTTCTTATATTGTTGAACCAAAAAAAGACAAGCCATGAAATTAGATCCATTTTTAGTTTGAAAATATATGTAAGTACCTATAGATGAATAAATATGTACACTTTGAAAAGAAGAGATATGTGTTCAGTGCCAGTGATGGGTTCCTTTAGAGATAGGACTAGAAAAAATAAAGGGGATGTATGATATGGAAGGATTTTTTGAGAGAGAGAGAGAGTAGGGGGTTTCTCTCTGTAACAGTCCTGGCTGTCCTGGAACTTGCTCTGGAGACCAACCTGGTCTCCAGCTCACAGATATATCCACCTGTCTCTGCCTCCCGTGTGCTGGGACTAAAGGCATACGCCACCACCACCCAGCAGGATTTTTTCTTTTTTGCTTTACAAATATAGATATAATTTTGTTTTATTTTGGTAACTTTTCTTTTCACTCTTGTGATGGCATTTTCTACTGTGTTAAAGAAAGGACATTGATCTTTAAAGGGGAGAAACGAAGGACTAGCGACAAAAATGTCTGCATATAAGAAGGAGGAGAAAGAAGAGGTGCTACAACAGAAACCAACACATGAACAGTAGAAAGAAGGAAAGTAGGAAACTTCAGGGCCCTGAAAGGTAATAGAGGGAGTTCACAGAGGAGTGGTGTAAGAAACAGAGCTGGGGAAAAGCTAAGATAACCCTGGCCAGGGAACAGCTGATGGGTAGCTATGGAAGAAAACAAAACAAAATAATAAACTAAATAGTACACTTGATGCTTTTTGTAGGAATAGAGAAAAACTTCTTGTAGTAGAAGTTTTTCAAGGGGCACTCAGACACTAGCATTTAGACACTTGCACCGGCTGGGTTTTTTTGTTTTTCTCTGTCAACTTGACACAAGCTAAAGTCATCAGAGAGGAAGGAGTCTCAGTTGAGGAAATGCCTCCATGAGATCCATCTATAATGCATTTTATCAACTAGTAATCAATGAGGGAGGGCCCAGTCTATGGTGGGCGGTGCCATCCCTGGGCTGGTGATCCTAGATTCTATAACAAAGAAAATTGAACAAGCCAAGAGAAGCAAGCCAGTAAGTAGCATCCCTCCATGGCCTCTGTATCAGCTCCTGCCTCCAGGGTCCTGCCCTGTGTGCATTCCTGTCCTGACTTCCTTCAGTGATGAACAGTAATGTGGAAGTCTAAGCCAAATAAAATCCTTTCTATCCCAACTTGCTTTTGGTCATGGTGCTTCCTTACTGCAGTAGAAACCCTGACTAAATTGGGCACATGCCTTTAATCCCAGCACTTGGGAGGCAGAAGCTGGAGAATCTCCGTGAGTTTGAGGCCAGCCAGGTCTACAGAGAGAGTTCCAGAACAGGCTCAAAGTTACAAAGAAAAACACTGTCTTGAAAATAACAAAGAAAGGAAGGAAGGAAGGAAGGAAGAAAGGAAGGAAGAAAGAAAGAAAGAAACACTAACTAAGACAACACTCTCCTTGGGTGTTGCTGGTCAGCAGTCAAGGATAAGAATCATTAAGTCAAAGGAAGGAAAGTCAAGAAAACTGAGGATTGTGTATTGCTTTCCTATGTTTGAAAGTGAAGAAGGGGGTAAAATAGGTTGTAAACTCATCCAAAGTATAGCTGGGCAGAAGGCTCATGGCCTCCTGGCAAGGTTTCACCATATCTGTCTCTGGCAGCAGCTCCATGGCTTCTCCCTTACCAACAAATAGCAATATCCAAACCATTTCTAGTTCCTGTGTTCTTGCCTTACCTTGAATTGTGGAACAAGGTCTTGGAGGCAGTGAGCAGATATAGAGTCCAAGACACAGCTGGCAGTATCAGCTAGACAAAAAGGGGCTTCCAAACATTGGAGGCAGATACAGAGCTAAGCAAAAGAGAACACAAGAAAAGGATGAATTGTGTCGTCACTCTGTAGAGGATAGAGTCCCAGTACAGCTGCAGAGGAGAGAGGAAAGCCAGGCTTCTGCATGACTTCCTTCATCCTCTCAGTAACACATGAGAGAGTGTCAGGAAATTCCCTGACTGCGAAAGCCGGTGGCTTGGGGACAGTGTATGAGCTGCACAGCCAAACAGAGAGCCCTGACCTTGTCTCCAGATAGTAGGTGGCTTAGTCATTTAACCTGTGCTGTAGAAACCTACCTCTGCTGTGGAGCAGGCGCACAGATGTGTGCGAACCGAAGGAAAGCGAGCAGTTTGGAGTTATCAAAGGTGATTCACTTTTCATTCTCTCTTCTAGGAGAATGATCAGACCACAGTTAACTCAGTAATCCTGACTTTTCAACCATTAGACAGAAATATAGTAGCCAACTTATGACGGTTCAAGATGGTTGTACCTATACAAGTATCCCGCTAAGTTAAGCTTGGGGTTAGATGATTTTGCCCATATTCAAGCGTGTGTATGTGTGTGTGTGTGTGTGTGTCTGTGTGTCTGTGTTAGGGTGTTCAGCGGGTATCTTTATTCAATTCTGTTTTCTTTTTTACTTAAAATATCGTCACCAACAATGAGTTAAAGTAGGACCTAACTTGACCAGTAAACACAGCTATATTCTGCCATTGGAGATAATACCCTTTAGTTTTGAAAATAAACAGGTGTCATACACTCTCCTACTTGTGAGCAAAATTGTACCTAACTCACCAGAAGTCTGCACAGCGCATGCATGGCAGATGCACACCCCCACTTACTCTAAAAACCAGATGTAGACCATGGTTTACCTTGTACAAAATGAGGTACTGGGTAGCTAACATTGAGCTCATACAGGTGTCTCTTCTAATGTAGGATGCTCACCCAAACAGCATGGGATTTTCAGTGGTTTCCTGCACTGAACCATGGTGGAAAGTCACTGTTGACTGTGATTTGCCAGTTATTGCAAAGTGTCAGTTAATTCAAAGAAGAAAGGGCAATGTTTTAATGATTTAAAAAAAATCAAAACCTCAATAGCTTGTTCAAAATAACCCACAGTGACCCTCTTACAGCACAATAGGACACAATATTAATCAATAGCATCAAACTCTGCCTACTTACCTGTTTGGAGATAACTATTTGACTCAAGCAGCCGTCGCGGTTTGATTTTAATATTTTGTTTTCAAGAGAATATGGGGAGCGGTACAAGAGAAAAAGCAATGATTTGGTTAATACCAAAAACAAAATAAAATAGCCTTCAGATCGTGCAGCCTCTTTGAGGAGGTACAGTCTGCATTAATCATGGGTTCCTGAGAGGCTGCGGGTGTTTCTGTACTACTGTGACGCGGCTGGGCACAAAGCAGAGCCCTGGAAGTTTTTGCTGTGTTAAAAAAGAAAGCAAAGCCTCCTCGGGTCCCTGCTTTTTCTCTGTTGACCACTTTTCTCTGACTCCTCCTCCTTCCCGAGGAAGGTGTGATACAAATCCCCGGAGCCCCCTCAAGTATTGACAAGCCGCTGCTCAGTGTTGCTTGCTGGGAAATAAGGAAAGAAATTTGACACCAAGCCTCATCTTGGCTACTGAGAGAACTGTCATCTCTGAGGTCACTCGACTTAAAGGGCATTTTTATTATTGTTTTGTCAAGTCTTAGTAGAAGACGACCCTTGATCATGCAAAACGGATCCAGGGGAAATCAGAAAATTTCTTGTCCACCTCTTCTCTGCAGTCCGACTCCTCCAAATACCTCCGTTGCCTTGTAGAATTGGCAGACTCTGGACCTTTTGCATGCTGGAGAAAATCTCTGTTTTGCCTCCAGCAAGGAACATGCATGTTGCAACACTGACTCCTCCTCTAGTGAAGAAAGAGTGAACAAGTGCACCGAGTTGAGCTTCTTCTTCGCAGAGACACGCGGCTGGCGACTGCGGGAGCAGAGGCTAAAATCCCCAGACACCGGGTCTTCTGGGCTGGGCTTTCCCCGCCTTCCTGTTCAGTCTTACTCGCTCTTCTCCTGCCTTCTGGATTTTTACCCAGGGCTCAGGAAACTGCTTCACCTGCAGCAATAAAGCTCACGTCCATTGCAGGAAGTGCGCACCGCCTGGTATGGCAGACTTTTCTCCCCAGCAAAAGTGAGTACCTGGGTTAGACACGGCTGCGCGCGGCCAGGGGTGGCGCGGGCGGGCGCTGTCTAGAATCGCAGGTTCGGGGCTGCATGTGAGAGGTGGAGCGGTTGGCTGCAGGCGCCGATAGCTTGGGGGAATGTCAGGCAGCAACCAGTCTTGAGGAAATCGCATCCCGTGCTGTGACCATGTTTAAAGTCAAACCTTGATGTCCCTCTTCAGAAAAGCTAAATATATGCCAAGGTGCTTGACTACGCACCCTAGCCTTTACAACTACGCTGGGCATATTTTAAAATATACCTTCAAATGAGCCCTTGAAAACGGGTGCAGCGTGAGTGTGGGTTACTGGGGTTGCAGGTGGTTTGTGTCAAAATGAAAAGCTAGGGAGAAAGCAGGGAGGTAGAAAGGGATCAGACACGGGACGCGGTGGCAGCTAACTTGGGCTGTCTCCTTCGGGAAACACGAATGGTTGCCGAGTAGCGACACTGAGTTACCTGTGCCCCTGACTCCCTCCCCGCCCCCGCCCCCGCCCCCGCCCCCGCGCCAGCGGCAGCGCACACACCACCCCCAAATGCAACTAAGTAGTGGCAGGGACGAGTCTCCCAGTCTTAACCTGCTGGCCGGGAGCTAGGAATTCAAGCCCTCGGGGTAGAAGCAAGGACACACTGCTGAAGCAGAGTGCTGGCAACGTGGGAGAAAAGAAGGGGGCTCGACTGCAGGAACCCAGAGCCGGACTGCTGAGGTAGGGGAAAGCAAAAGCTGTAGTTGTGGCTTTTTAAGTAGAAAAATATCCTGTTAGTGACCTCTACCTGTGTGGCCGGGGAGCAACACATGTTTCCCTAATAACCAAGAACTTGGTGTTTTCTGTGATTGAAATTGAAAATGCTTGCAGCCTGCTATTAATCTCACGAGGGTGGGAGCATCCTTTAATCTTCATTCATGGAATTGGCTGGAAAAGATTTCCCACCTGAGTGTCTTAACCAATCCCCTCTCTGCCTCTGTTAGACTCCAAACTTGGGTGTTTACCTTCTCCTGGCCTCAGTTTACTCTACAAAATTTAGGGAAGTTGCTCATTCTTTATGTAAGTTCTTAATGGAATAGAGGTGCTGAACAGCGCAGGAAACAGGAACATTTCAGACATTTTGCCCCCGTGGCTTTTTTCAGAGTAAGGGTCCTTTTGAGAACTGATTGGGTCATTTCCCCAGGGTGGATACTCTTTTTAAGAAACAGGTGAAGAATTTGACACAAATACTCCTTGTTGGCCATGCCTGAAAACCCCATTGTCTTTAAGGATGCTGCGTCTGGACCCATCCAGACAAGCTTTTGCTGGTGGCTGCGCTGGTTATGGGAATAAGTGGTCATGTTGGTGGAGTCTGAGGCACTGCTGGGAGAGACAGTCCTACTTGCTAGGGTGCTCAGACGGTGGGTGTCCTCAATGGCTTTATCAGTCTATGAGCTTCTATGGGACCCCCTCCTCTCGATTCTTAATGCCTTACCCTAGGGCAGTGCTTCTCAACCTTCCTGACCCTGCACTCTTTAATACAGTTCCTGGTGTTGCGGTGACCCTCCAAGCATGAAAATTATTTTCATTACTACTTCATAACTGTAATATTGCTACTGTCATGAATTGTCATGTAAATATATTCAACCCCTGTGAAAGAGTCATTCAACAGCACAGTGAGAACCACTGCCCTAGAGGTTTCTGTCCACAAATAGCCCTGGAAAGCAGCCTACAGAGGGTCAGTGTCCGCAGGAACCAATGTCCTTCAGGCCAACTGGTTGACTGTCAGAAAGCAGAGCCAAGGCTTTGCTTGGAGACAAAGCTTGATCTGCTCCCCCAAACACGGTGTGGCGAAGTGATAGTATTCATTTGGGCATATGTACTTTGTCTTTGAAAGGTAGATGGTCTCAACACCTTGTAGAAATGACAACGCCAACAGCACAGGGGCTGTAGAGCAGAAAGCACATGGCATTGGAGCCCGAGAGCTTCAGGGGGAGCCTGCACTTCATCACATTATAGTTATGCTTCAGCAAGGAACTGGATTTCTCTGAGTCTCGCTTTTCCTGATGTAAGATGGGGAATAATTCTGCTTTTCTTGTGTGGTTATTGAGGAAATGGAAATACTATTTATATCATGCCTGACCCCTGCTCAGCCATCAACTCTTAATTTTCCTGTGGCATTGCAAGTGCCCACTAGTCTGTGTATCTTAGAGCAGCTGTCTCTCCTGTGAGGCTTGTGTTACCAGAAGAAAGGGAGAAACCAGCTCATTAGTCTCTAGGATGAGAGAGGAGTTCAAAACCCAGGGTCAAGTTTATTGTCTCAACTGTGCTATGTCAAGCAGAACTCTGTGTATTGGCAACAAATAAAATACTTCCAGATTGGCATGGATTCTCAGACTTTCTCTCAGTTCCTTTCTGGCTTATAACTTTGCATGCAAAATAGTTATCTGTGCCTACAGCTACAAGCAGTTGAATATGAAACCAGAAAAGTCCCCACATGGATCTCGAAATACACTACAAGTTGTCTCCATAGAGATAAATGTCTCCATAGAGATAAATGTCTCCATTTCTCTTTTGCTTGTTTTGTTTTGTTTTGTTTTTTGAGATAGAGTTTCTCTGTAGCTTTGGAACCTGTCCTGGAACTAGCTTTTGTAGACCAGGCTGGTCTTGAACTCACAGAGATCCGACTGCCTCTGCCTCCCAAGTGCTGGGATTAAAGGCGTGTGCCACCACGGCCTGGCTCCATTGCTATCTTTCAATGCTTGGTACAAGTTAAGATTTCAACTCAACTTAGAAGCTCCCCTACTTGACCTCTCAGGTTCAAGTAGAAAAAAAAAAAATCAAACCTTAAGGACAAGGAAATTACACACTCACAAAGTAGGAAAGGCCAATGTTCTTTGGAGTACTTGTGTGCAAAGATGGCGACATTGATACCATTCCCTGAGCCTTTAGAAGGCAGGGTGGTGCATACTTCTGTACACCTCAACTAATTCTCAATGAAATTTCAAGGGTATGAATTATCATGTAAAGTTTTACGGGTAAGGAAAATGAGGGGTAGAAGCAGGTACCTAATTTGTCCAGCCCACACAGCTTGGGGTAGAAGTCCAGGTCTGTCTGACTTGGTCATCCATTCTTTTTCCACTACCTAGTGCTGCCAGCCTTCCCGATATCAGAACATTGCACCATGTCAACTGGACTTGGATCGTTCTCAAGGGCAGGGCTGACCACATGTGGCGGATCACTCTAAGTGAGGGGAACAGAACTTGTGGCACATATTAACTTGTAGCAACGACAAACCACTTGTGGGGAGTAGTCCTCCTGACTCTTGCCGCGCTCAGCTTGCACATTTCAGAAAAGTGATAGTCAGTGTAGGCAGATGAGCTGGGGCTGGTTGACTGTCACTCGCATCCTGGGCAGTCTTTTCAAGTTCAAAAAACTCTGGGGTTTTCATTTTCTACTAGTTTTTTCAGTTTCTACTAGTTTTTGTATCAAGACAGTCTTTACATTTGCTTCCTGTGCTCAGGATTCATCCATTCATTTACTCACCTGCGCTCCGCTGTGTGTTGTGTGAGTAGTTGCTTGCACAATGGAGAGAAAAGTGGAAATCTAGCTAGCTTCTCTGGAAGGAAAAATGGTCATTAGCAGGGAGATGAACAAACACATAGAAATCATTCAAGCTCTGGTAAGATGGCCTCAAGGATAAAAACGCTTGCCGTGAAAGCCTGGAGACCTGAGTTGTATCAATGGGACCCATGAAATGTAGAGGAAAGAGCCAACTCCCAAAAGTTGCTCTCTGACCTCCACATAAATATTGTGGCATGACATACCCATATGCATATGTGATCCTTATACACAAATCATAAAAAAATCTATTTTAAAGACCATTCCAGATATTGATAAATTTTATGACGAAAATACAGAGATTATAAAGTCATGTCCAGTTGTAGAGTACTTGACTTGAGGATAACCTATAAGAAAGATGCTCAATTTGTAAAACACCCTAGATTTTAAACACCTGGCACCCCATAAACAAAAAGCAAATTTGCTTCTAGTTTTAGTTTGTATATCAAAATGGTAACATTTTAGATGAACTGGTTTCGGTGAAAATGGATCAGTTTTACCTACTAGCTTTAATTTGTTTTACTGTGCCTTAATAGCAAGTTTAGATGACATTACTTATGGCTTACATTGCATTTGTTTGGAATAGCACTACTTAAGACTGATAACTTGACAAAGATATGATAGGAATTTCCTACTGTCCCCCCTTTCTCCTGGACATCATTTTTTTTTCCTCTATGCTTGGCTAATACTCTTCTCATGTCTACCACGAATTCAGTTATCTGATGAATTAGAGAGTTGAAAGGACCCTCTCCCCACCTCTCATGCTGATTTTATGCACATGATGCAGTTAAAGCCAATCCCACCCTGTTGATATGGGACTTAATAAAATTAACTCTGTGGTTACATTTGTCACCAGGACACAGTCCTTCAAGTAGGAAAATCTCAAGAAGCTTTTTCACAAAACCCAGTGACCAAAGGCACATTCTAAAAATGTTATCTTTACATTGCTTCCTAAGATGATACATTTGTATCTCTTAGTGCTTTGGAAAGCCAAGGAGAAGAGAGCTAGGATTTCACATACATATGCAAAACTCCTTAAGCCATCTCCCATGAAGAGAAGTGCGCTTTCCTTACCATCCTCTTGATGAGAACTGCTTGAACAAGAAGCAACCCCAGTCTCCAGAAGGACTGCATCAGGAGTGTCACAAAAGGCCACCTTTGCCTTCTTTCTTCACTGACTAAAACAACACTTAGGTATGTCATCGAAACAAAGATATAATTTGTTCTTGTTTCCTGCGAGGGGAAGAGCAGTCAGAATCTAGAAGGAGGGGAGGCCTCTGACTTTGGAGATCATGCATGCAGAGACTCAGTTTGTCTCTTCTGCCCGATTGTCCATTGGACTCACTTATTTCTTCCAGTAATACTGCACACGTTTAGAGTTGATATG